GTATTTTTACTTGGTGTTCCCAGTGGTTACTACCCTTAAATGCGGAAAAATTGTAGTGCTTCGAATTGGTAAAAATAACCTAATTGTGCTATACTTTGTTCACGGGCAGCCATTAGATTCTGTGTTTTCGTATAACAACCTTGGTGTTATCGTAAACAGCAGCCTAACTTGGTCCGACCATAATTATTACCCCTAATTGTAAAAATGCGAACTCCAGACTGTATTTTATTCGGAGGTGTTTTTCTAGAGTTACCGTGGTATCCTGATTTGGTTCGAGACAAGACTTTGTTGGAAAACGTTCAAAGAAAAGCCACTCGAACGCCTCAGAGGTCATCAGTTTAAACTAAAGAAAGACAATTTTTCTACAAGATCAAGACAGAACTTTCTACCAAATAGAGTTTTTGAGTGCTGGAATAACCTTAATGATAACATTGTCTCTGCACCCTCTATCAACTCGTTTAAAAACAGACTTGACCGTTTTATATTATAGTTAATATATTGTTTTTCTTTATAAACCAAAAATTGTAATTTTATTTCTTTTTTTTTTTTGTAATTTTGTTATTTACTAGTAGTAGTCTAGGCTGGATCTATGTTGGATTGGACATTTTCCATAGGAAGCTATTTTTTGCTGGAATCCCTTCAGGATGTGCCCAATATCGATAATGACGATATGCGCCAGTCGCAAACCTTGTGCTAAATTTTTTATTTAACAAAATCTTTTCAGAGGATCAATATTTTCCGAATATCCAATCAAAAAGGATCTATATTTTCCGAATTATAAACGAAAATAGGAGCAAAAAAATGAGAAATTTTGAATCGTTTTCAGATTTTGTTAAATAAAAAATTTAGCACAGGGTTTGCGACTGGCGCATATCGTCATTATCGATATTGGGCACATCCTGAAGGGATTCCAGCAAAAAAATAGCTTCCTATGGAAAATGTCCATTATGGTCTGAATTTCTACAGATCCCGCCTAGTCTATAGGTTATTAATGAAATTTCTTTATTTTTGGGCATAATAGGGACTTGTTCCTCTGCCCTCGCTTATGTATAATAATAATAATAATGTTACTCATTAGTTAGTTGTCAGTGGACGAGGTAGTACAGTGTGTTTATCAGTTATCAATATGTCATATGAAAACGAGTAGAAGCGTTTGCAAAAGTTGGTGGAAGAGTTTTTTAAGACGAAGACAATGATGATAGTGTTCTGGATAAATATTTTGAATTAGGTAGTGAATGCGAAATAAGTAGTTCTTCGTCAAATGAAGGTGTTGTGGAAATGTTATTCCTCAATATTGACTGCCAGATGATGAATGCGATTGAAACACCCTTGATATGGAAGAATAAAGATAACCAAAACTTAAAAAATATTACATTCGGTGTTTAGGGCTCGGGTATCGAAGTGAGTTTTTTTTAACCATTTGTGAATGACGATATTATTAAGTGGATGTTGAAACTGTATATAGAGTAGATATAGAGGGGCAAGAAACCAATTGATATGCACATTAAAACTTGAATATAGGTGGTCACGGTCCAAAAGCTAGAATTCATAAGTGGGTAGATATAAATACCGAATAAATAAAGACATTTTGGCCATTCTTGTATAGATAGGATTGCAAAGATTGCCAAAGTCGTGTTCGTATTGGTTAAAAAACTCATTATATGAAAACAAAGTAAGGTGTTTTATGTCGCGTAATCTGCAATTCTGCATTGATAAAACTGTATTCCGTTTAGAGAACAACAGTATTTAGACAGTGTATTAAAAACAAGAGAAGGATTTATAGATATATACAACTAAATAAAGTTTTACTCTACAGCATTACGAAAATGAGAAGAATCAGGTATCGTAATATAGCAATTCAGATCCTTCTAGGGTCAGCTATTGTCAACGCCTATATAATTTACCAAAAAGTAACCAACAGTTACATGTTCATCAGACCTTTCACAGAAGAGTTAGTTTGTCAACTGGTAGATTTGTCTAAATTAACAAATTCAGAGCAACAGATGCCACATGCTCGTAAAGGTTCGGCCAGAAAAAGATGTGCCAGATGAATTGCACAGACTAAAACTCCCTGTTCTCGTTTTAATAAATTCTATTGTGCAATCGTTTCAATAACTAAAGTGCAATAAATTCTATTTTATCACGTGCTTTTGCGAGGTTCCTTCATGTACCCTATAAATATTTGTACACAAATATTACATTTTTTCATTTATTTTTTAACTAAAACACGTCTTGCTAATTTTAAAGGACATTTACTTATCTTTTGCATAAAAACAATTGTTTCAAGCTACATAATAATATATTGCTTTATAGCTAGACATTAGTATCCTAGAAATGCAAGCTAAATATAATAAAATAGTTTATCGGGCGACTGAGAAAATGTATTCCATATAAATGAATGGGTAATGTGAATCGCGGTTGTACCTCGCAGCTTAAAATACACGAAGGCTATGAGATGCAACGGTGCTTCTCGTAGCGTTTAACGTGTTAATTATGGTTTATTAAATTAAATTAATTTATTTTTTGCTTAGTTTTTTTTAGGGAACAGCACAATATTTTGATTTAAATTTAATTAATAAATGTGTAAAAAAAATGTGTTGTTTTTTTATTTTTTCACGATATAGGTCACTACTGTTAGAAATTTAAATCATTCAAAGTGGATAGCAAGGGTCTATCTAATATTGAAAAATATGACAAGGGGTCTACGAGAGAATAAAGTTTGATCGATGATGAAAAACTATTTAATCGACTTATAAGCTGCGATTAGCTATAGATTATAGCTGAGAATAAAGTTTGATCGATGATGAAAAACTATTTAATCGACTTATAAGCTGCGATTAGCTATAGATTATAGCTGAGATTAGCTATAGATTACAGCTAAGATTTAGCACTCTTCAATAACTCATTAAGTGCAATAATTTCAAGTAGTTATATTACACGTTATTATTCAAAAAACAAAGTTATTAGTATTTATAAATTACTGCAAAAATAAGAGATTTTTGCATTATCTCGGTCAATTGTTCATGTATTTTAATTTAGAAAGTAAAGAAATTTTTAAGATCTATAACTTCTATTTGAACCATTTTTCATTAAAATATGTACCAACAGTACGACTTCAAGGATGTGTCATCAGCTATTTATCACTCATATGCCTTTTAGAACCTTCAGAAATCTGTATATGATTTTTTTTAGATACATTTTAGACAGGGCTATCACCGTATTTCCGTTTTCCTCCGCCAATCCTCCCGGTCCAAGGCATGCTCCTCCTGCAAACCTCTCGATTTTCCTTAACTAGGTCCTAAAAATAGATTTTCCTAAAGTCAGGAAAACTAGAACGGGTCGGCCTTAGGGGGGCAGCTTCGACCCAGAACTTTTCTGTCTGAGTAGAACTATTCTATCATCGCAGACTGAGATGAACTATTCTGTCAATGACCGTTTCTGTAGCATTCATGTTATTTCTTATAGATTCGTTGGACTTGATGTTCTAGCACTAGATCTTTCCAGCCTTGATGTTCTAGCACTTCTTCTCAAATAATCCATTTCAACTGCAAATAATCTTCTCTTCAGTTCTGCATTAATTGTCCATACTTCAGAGCCATAACAAAGAACTGATTGAACCGTGGTTTGCCCTATTCTTTTTTTGTTGCTTTTGGAAATGTTGCGATCACACCATAAGGAGTTCAGACATCCTACAATTTTACTTCCCTGATTAATTCGGTGGCTTCCAAGCCGTTCTTATCAATGAGTGCACCTAAATATTTAAATTTTTCCACTTGTTTGATTTCCACGTTCTCCCCTATTAACTTTTCAAACCTTGCTTCTGAATTGAAAACTAAATATTGTTTTCTTCGTGCTGACTTGTAACCCCCATTTCACATATTCTCTGTATAGACGTTTTATTATAAATTCTGATCATAAGAATCATTCGTTTTTCATTTTAATTAACGCAGTACGGACCTGGTTGTTAGTAGTATTAATGTTACTATTTGTTTGTCTCTCCATACTGTATTCTCCCATATATTCCAATCTGGAGTCGGAGTAAATTTTTATAGTGATTATTTTCTATAGGAATTAAGTTACTTAAGGAGTTATGGATGTTTTTCTTTAGATTAGTGATAGTTCTCCATGTTTCCGTTGTCTGAGAACCACCAATTAAATTTTCAACTTGTAACACATTTTTGTTCCCAGAAATTGTTTTTTGCTTCTTTTATTTGATTGCGTACTTCTCCGTTTTTCCTTTGATATGTTACTCTATTGCTAGATTAGATATTTTATTTGTTTTGCTCGAAATTGTAAGCAATTTCTTATATATTTTGTTTTTTTTTTGTTTTATTTATTTTACTATCATCCATGTTTGCTATCATCCATGGTGATTCGTGGTGATTTTTGTCGTTGTTCTCTGTTCCTAATACTGCATAAGGAATTTTTGTATTATCGTTTTGAGGTTTTTGTATCCTTGTTCTACATCCATATTTCTTTCCATCTCATTTAGTTCCTTTTCTAATCTAGATTGAAATAGATATTTAATACTTGGTTAGAATAAAAGATGCAATTTATATCTTTCCGTTTTGTACTGTGTAGTATTGTTTCTCTCACTTTCAGTGTTCTGTTTGTAGTATTGTTTAAAGGGGCACACAAGATTAGCTAAAAGGAAGTAGTGATCTGTCCCACAGTTAGATCCTCCTTTACTCTGCCGTCTTGGCACTTAAATTTTAATTTCTCTCTCATTATTGTATAGTCTATGATCGACTTCTGTTGGAGTGAAGTGAATGTCGTTTCCAAGTGTATTTATGAATATCTTTATGTTGGAATTAGGTATTCATGATTTTTAAACCAAAAAGTTGGCAGAATTCAATTAAGCTGTTAATTAACTTATTAAATGTACATATATATAAACTTATATATTGTTGAGGTTATTATTTCAAATGTTAATATCATGCAACATTGAAACTAATGTTGATATAGGTAAAATTTGGGAAAAAAACACCATAAATTTTTTTATGAATATTTTTATTTGTTTTTAATTAATTCTACAATATTGCCATACTTTTAGTTAAGGCACAACAGCTCCAAATCAATACAAGAAATTTTTAAAAGTAAAATTTTATAAATGAAAAAAATGAAATTAAAAATAAGCACTAAATATAGTTCTAGCCAGTCTTACACAAAAATAAACACAAAATAAAGTGTCTGAAACTTATTTGCATATTCACACAGTCAACACAAGAGTAAATATAAAGTATACTAAAAATAATTATATTAATATAAATGATATGATCAATTCTTGTTCACCGGTAGTACGGAGCATTTTCTAAAACTAAATTGTCTAAATATTAAACTATATAAAAATCTGAAAATGTTAACAGCAATATATTGAAACGGTTCATAAAATACATACAGAATCTTAAGGTAAAGCTTAAACATTAAGCATTTTAACTTTGGTAGTTAATCACACAAATTACTTTAAAAGTCACTATTAACTAAAATGTCTGTTGAGGTGAAGTTTTTAGTGGAAAATGTACCAGTCCATATTCGTATCCATTCAATTTCTCTCAATTACAGTATGCCACGTTCTATGCACTATTTCTATGTTATTTTTCGTTGACAACTTAAATTATATTAAAAATACAAATTTTAAAAAATGTGATCCTTTTGAATGTTGTATAAATAACTGGTATTTATTTCCACCTATGTATTCTGATTAGATCAGAAAGAATTCATCACTTGTTTTAAATGTTCTGAGCCAAATCTTAGTTTTTCATTGATCAATCCACTAATCATCATTTCAAGGTCATGCACTGCATCTTCTGAGAATGTGTGGCCTATGAGGCTAGTAATAACGTTAGCATTTCCTGATAAACCTTGAGAGGATAGACCTGGCGGTACATAAAGGCTAATATCACTAATTTTTCCATACTCTACAACCATATTAACCTTTAGATCCTCATTAATACCATAGCTTTCAACTAGTGTATCAGGAACCTTGAAAGATTTAGTAATGTTGAATTTTGGAGTTTTTCCATATTGCCAATTCCAACTGAGAAGCTCTTCCTTAATTTCATTCAAACCTACAAATAAAAGTAAATTATTTTATTAAAGTTTAACAAACTGTATTCAATATGCAATCAGGTGTTGTTAAAGTTTCCAGAACTATATAATATAAAAAACTGCAACTTTCTGATGCATTATAAACCACCATCAATATCTAAGGCCTTTTGCCTTTTTGCAACCAATTTTTAAACAAAATATGTACATGTTGTTAATTTTTGTGACTTTTATTTTGATAAAAGAGTTTTTCCAATTATGGTGATGTTTACGTTCTGGAGAATAATTTAAAACCCAGTTTTTAAGTAAAAGAGTGTTTACCCGAGAGACCAAGTCAGTTATATGGGTATCAGGTTAGTTGTATATTCACTGATGCAACTACTTCTTAAAAGTACAAACTTAATTTTTACAGAACAAATAAATACTGGACTCTTCCTTCTTTAAAAAAGTAAGAAAATAAGTAAGAGTAATTTAAAAAGAGTAACAAAACTGAAATGTTTAGGAATTCAAATGATTCACACACAAAAATAAATACTTTAAGCTTATCATTCTAAGAAAGGTAACAGACATTGTACTTGAGTTGAATTCAATCTGGTACTTAAAACACTCGGGTCATAATTTGAAGAATTGAGTTGGTCCTAATGGATTATAATAAATCACCAATCACTATTATTAATAAAATAAATTGTAAAAATAAAGATAAGGTTAGGTGGTTTAATAATTACAACAGTTTTCTAATCTTATCTGCTTAGTGAATATCTTATTGTAGGGTTACAACATATTTTACAACAAACACAGATTTATATTAGAAAACACTGCCCATACAGAATCATATAATTTATGTACTACTATATAAAGTTCAGAATAAAATATTTGTCCTACCTGGGAACCATCCTTCTGTAGGATTGACCAGCTGGAAGCCATTTTGTTTATTAGCTAGCTCCATGCCCCCATCAATAAGTTTAAGTGGATGCATCCTCATGTATTCCCATCCTATGAATGTCATAAGATTTTTTACATCAACGATGGGATTGTCTTCACATACATTCATGATTTTTGATCTCACTGACTGTGTAGCATTAGTTTTGATCTCAGCCTATAAATAAATGATTTATTTAAAAATATTTTATATGCTTAAATGTGTATAACTTACTTCAGGTTTTTGTAAAGCCATGCTCAGATCCACTTTATTAACATTTACTAGAAGTGTACAATGGTGGTATGCATTAGTTCTTCCTAATTTTGCAGCAGTTCCAGATATCTGCTAAGACTAAGTTAAGAAAATAAAGCTAGAAGTAGATGCAGAAAAATGTCAATAAATAAAATTATTTAATATACTTTTATATACTTGGAGCACATACAACAATAAAAGACATGATTATGAATATCTCATATCAAAAATATTCATCCATTGATAAACCTAGACTTGGGTTGTTCATTTACAAAGTTCTTATATTCAATCTTAATATTTTTCCTAAGTACTAGTCCATCACGATTCAGTAGTACCTTTATTTTGCTTATAATTATGCTTAATCCAATCTCTTCTAATGCATTTATAACCTTTTTATTCAATCAAGGGATCAAGTCACTTTTCAAATGTAATCTGACTTCTGACATATCTACAACTATTTATATCACATTTGACAATAGATATACCAATTTTATAAAGAACATAATACAGAAACACAACTAGACTAATATAAAATATCTCAAAATCTGGACAGTCAATAGTTGTTGGATGGATGCTATCGAGAAACTATATTGAAAGGAATGAGATATCAAAATAATGTTTACCTATATTATGTGTGATATACTGACCATCAAATTGTGGTAGCCGATACAAAAAGAATGATGCAACATAAACATTAAGAATTAAATGGTAAATAATTAAAAATAACTACAAAACAAACAGAGATAAAAAAATATCAGTAGCTATAATACTACAGGTAGCAGAAATTAAAAATTAATGATTATAAAGATATCCACAATATCATAACAAAAACATTTAACCAGTGCATATTCTCACACATATACAAATTTGTATATCATGCCAATATTGACAGCTAGGAAACTCCCAATATAGAGTGATGGTATTAAAAAACATGTTTGGTAGTACAAATCATTAAGATAATATTATTTATAGTTGTTGCTAACTGATAATCACTTGGACTTGATTTAAGAAAAGTAAGAAAGTGTGTCAACTGTGGCTGAAATATTAAAAATTGGATTTTCATTCAAGTTTTAATTAGAAAATATTTTAATAAGTGGAGTGATATTTCAAAACTGCAGAAAGGGCACACACATATTGTTTTGTCTAAAAAAATTTATAAGTATACCCAGAAATAAGGAAATATAACCAGAAGGAAGTAGTAGTAGTAGTAATAATAATAAAGTTAGTATTGAATTATACTCCAAATTAATATAGCAAAGTACTTATTTTACTATGTACCTATATTCTGTTTTAAAAAATGCTGCAACTAAATGCTAAATATGTTATTAGTTAAAAGCGAATAATATATCTACTATAATATACCAAATTAAACACTAAAAAAGGATACTTTTAAATTCCTTATCGTTAAATCTTCTCTGGGGGAAATATCTACTTTCATGTTGTAATTTCTGAAAAGACTTCTACTAATAACTTCCAGATTGTATTTTCTATTATACTGATTTCTCGGTGTAAAGAATGTAAGATTTAAATTTCCATTATCGTGGTACACAGTGCCTCCTCCACTATTTCTTCTAGCAAGTTGAACTCCTTGTTCTCCAATATATGGCAATTCATTGACATTTGCTTCGAGCCAAGGATTTTGATGTCTGCCAATAACTACACAAGGATCATTTTGCCACAACATTAAGACATGGTGATTTTTGAAATCAGAATTGCGATACAGCCAATCTTCTAATGCTAAATTTGTATAAATATCCTTAGATTGTGATATGAACACAGATTTTTTAATGTTTTGGTCTGATGATGTTGAGTAGGATTTATTATTTCTTGAAATCAAAGTAATTGCTCTTGTGTAGGTACGATGGAATAATGCCATTTTGAAATATATGTTTATGAGTCTTTACTAATATTAATTTTGTAGATGTTGTGCCTTTAAAAAGTACCTTAATGTGTTAAAAAATTAATGTAACACACGTTTTTAGAAGCTGATGTAAGAGCAGTAAGATAGTCGTGAAGAGCAATAGTTTGATGCAACCACTTCCAAGTTTGGTGTAAGGAATTAATACGGATTCTAAGTGCCAGGCAGTCCTTTGTAGTTCTCAGCATTCCTTCCTTTGCTGCCAGATCGAACAAAAAAATTCACTAAATTAAAATGTACTCAAAAACACCTTAAAACAAAACACCAAAAAACAATAAAGATATTTTTTGAACAAAAATAAAGCTAAATTATTATCACTGTAACTGTATCACTGACAATAACTACTATTATGAATTTTATGTTGAATTACCAGCTTATATAGACATCATTCCACAGGGGGGTCATTTATCTCTAGAGAGGTCATCCTTAAAAGTTATCAGCGCTACAAAAGAAAAATAAACTCCGTTAATCCTACTTCCACATATCATTATCATGTGATTTATTCATAAAAATAGATATTTACCACCAGTGGTTGCGTAAAATGTACTGTGCGTGAAACACTAAAAATATGGAATGCTCTATGTGCTGTGTCAAATCAGATATTTTTTCATGGTTATATAAATATGTAATACAACATGAATTTAATAAAATACATCCTGTAGTCCATACTAAAAACAAAATTATAGACACAAATTTAAAATAATTTTAGCTTGACCTTGGCGTATGGCGTTTATATGACATTTGTTATTTACTTGACAGTTAAATCAACAAGTTTCAATCAATACCAATATAATGAAATGAAAACTAATTCATGGATATATTATATTCGCATTGATTATTTGTTATTTTATATATAATCATAAAATAGGAACAATTTTTCCTGATTTTGTGATATTATCCGTTATTCACAGTCAATAATACAAATAAGTGTATATTTGGTTGCATACCTAAGGCATTTTGAAGAAGAATCGTGCTGTTGATTACTGAATTAAAATATATGTCAACATTTGCAATAACTGTGGACTATATTTAGTTTCAAATGGTAATAATATATACAACTAAAAATTTTAACCAAAAGAAAAAATTTTAACTAAAAGAAAAAAGGCAATCATACTTTTTGTTTAGTATACGATCCCACTGGCAGTGAAATTTATTTTCGTATTTAATACAGTTTGCTTTGGTGCTACAAATTTGACTGACTATATCTACGCAACCCTAATATTAATATTATGATATTCCCTACATTCCCAGACGAAAAAGTCTTAAAATTTAATTGTCTCACACCAGTCCTCAGCCCTCAGCTGGAGAGACGATGAGCTGATTAGGGAATTTTTTAAGTAAACATTAAGTAGTTATTTGACATTCTCTCACCTTGAGAAATTTGACATAATTTCTCAAAAAATACAAAGAGTCACGAAAAATTACAAGTCAAGAAAATATAACTCGAATCTTAAAGGAGTTTTCACCACCCAGTCACATCGCGTATATCTTTCATTTAAGTCGGGTGCTCTGCTTTTTATCACTTCCGCGCTCTTTTCACTTGGTTCTTCCTTAATCTGAAGTCGACAAACGTTCTCTTGAGGTTACTTCTTTGAAACCACCTTACTTTCATAGGGTAGAGTATTACCTTGTCAATATTATAACTACAATCTCGTCAATAACTACATTCTCGTCAATAATAACTGCCTCGACGACTTCCACCATATAAAGCTTGTGTAATGGTCTCAGAAATTGGCCTTGTGTAGTCGAAACACGAACTAACCGCAACTGATCATCCCTATCAGGCATAAGTTCAATAACTTTTCTTAAAGCACCCTGAAGACGCTTGATGTTCTCATTGCCGACTAAAACGACATCCCCGAAAGACACTTTAAACACCTTCGTCTTCTTCATTTCTGATTTGAGTTGAGCCAGATATTCAGCAGGAAATCATTTTCGCAAATGATTTCTCAACTCTTGTAAACGTCGTATTTTGCGTGTGAGAGAATTCTGCTCTAGCAAATCACAATCCGGCAACTCGTAACTGACTTGTTCATGTAAAAACATACACTTAAGGTTAACATGGTTAACTCAGTAGGTATGTCAATAAGTCTTCATAATTGATCGACGCTCGACCTAAAATTTTTCGCAAAAGTCCTTTCACAATACCTACTAATCGCTCCCAAAATCCACCCCACCATGCAGCTGTAGGGGTTTGAAACGCCATTTAATGCGTTGTGTAGAATATTCCGCGATAGTATTCCAGTCCAATTACTTAAGCGCATTCTCGAATCCCTAAGCAGTTATCCCTAGTCTCAAGCGAACGAAGTTGACTCTCATATCAAAGAGCAGAAATATTACTAGGACTACTAGAAACTAGACTTAAACTTGACTTTAAAAGCTCTCTTATGTAATCTTCAATTTGGAGATCCTCTCTACCAAGTTTAGACTGCAAACTTTGAATAATTTTCGAGTAATTGTCGACTGGTGCAGGAAAACTTTCCACTAATCGTCTGGCCTTACTAGCCTCTACAGTGGCTTGACTCAATTAAGCTATGTTAATAGTCAAATCAATTGATGGATCATCATGCACTAGTTTGAACTGCGACCAAAAGAGAAGTCAATCTTTCAAGTATCCATTAAATTTCTTGAACTAGCTTTTAAACTATATATTTAGACTAGTTTATAATTGAACACATATCTAATAGTTTATGGACCAAAGATGGTCCAGTGGTGAAGGAGATCACATGAAAACTCCCTAGTGTTGCGAGAACAGAAGTAAGAAACTTGAGACTAAAAGAAAAATAATATTTGATTCAAGATAGTACAGATAATAAAAAGATGCTAGCCGTAAATCTGTGGATGAGTTGAAGAAGGAGGAGAAGAAGCGCCGGCCCAGCGATCAAGTACTTAAAATCGTTCGATACTCGTCGTTGAACGAGGATCGGAAGCTGAAGAAAAAGAAGAAGAAAATTTATCACAGCCGGTCTATTTCTTCGGGCAGCATAAAGCTAGACAAGGAAAAATGGCCGGAAGAATCTAGATTTTTAAAATATTCATTATCGTATTACAAAAAGGATTTATTTACTCCTGGAAAGTTTAAAACAACTATTTTTTTTTATCAGGATAAGACCCCGATCATTTTATAGTTATTTATTTTCTATATAAATTTAATAATAAATACACACTTTCTTTCTACATTATCTACCGTTACCGTTAATCTATCGTTTCTCTTACATAAATAAAACACAGAAAACTTTTGAAATTATTTAAGTACATACACCACAAGGCACACCTATTTACCACCACCCATGGTACAATAAAAAAACAGATCGTTCATATTACACGTGCATTCTTGTACCCTGCACATTTTAGCAATTTAAACTTCTATCGACAAGATTTCGTACCAGGATAACAGAAACGTGTGAAGATCGTCGAATGTATGATCCTCCTACTGGAGAAAATCTGCATTTTAACAATTCAAACTTCTGTCGACAAGATTTCGTACCAGGATAACAGAAACGTGTGAAGATCGTCGAATGTTATGATCGTCATACTGGATAAATAAAATAAATATTGTGCCCTGTACATTTAAACGATTCACACTCTGTCAACAAGCTTTCGTACCAGGATAACAGAAACGTGTGAAGATCGTCGAATTCTGTGTGCGTCTGCTCCTGTTAGTTTCCCAACATTTTGCTAAGTACACGCCCACAACATGGTGGCTGACAAAATATACAAAATTGTAAATATTGACGTTTTCAAGAATATTTAAAACTCAAAGTGTTTTATAAAAAATTTTAGTATTTTCTAATAACCCAAATAACTATATTTTATACAATTTATTTGTAATTAATTGAAATAATAAACTAATTTTTCTTTCAACTACCATTGCCATCTGTCATCAAAGGCTCAAAGTTTTGCAAGAAGTATGCGATACTTAATAAAATACTTAAATTTTATTTTTAATGATCTTATGTAGTCTTTATATTATTTAATTCACTAGATTAATTTATTGTACAGTTAATATTTAGTTTGACTTTTGGGAGTATTTTTATTCATTTATTATAATGTTTAATAAATAACTTCTGCCTTGAATTAATTTGTTAACATAGTTTAATAACTGCGGACTGTCAACAGTAAACAGCGTATGCTTGGCAACAATGTAGGTATATGGAGCCAACGAGCCAATTAATTAAAACCCGTAAAGTGTTTTATATGAAATTTTAGTATTTTAACGTAATGATTTCAACGTAATCACTATATTTTAAACAGTTCATTTGTATTTTATTGAAATATTTACTCGTACTTGTCAATTTTTTTGAAGCCTATATGCCGCCATTTGCATTATTATATGGCACGGCATAAAGTGCATTGTTTAGATTACAGTATCTTGTTTATTTTTATTCTTGTTATTCTACGTGTGGTTGTTTATTTCCCGATTCTGTATTGTATTTATAAATTTTCCCATTGTTTAACTTGTAGGAAAGTACAAGCTGAACATAGTCGCAAATGTCAACCATGAAAATTATTTCGGTTTGGCAGTGTTGGCACGTTTTCATAATGTATATGTTGTATGCTTCAAATATAAAGAGAGAAAGGTCTAGAAACGTACATTTTGATTATGTTATGTTATGAATTCTGCAATTTTTAATTTATATAAAACAAGAACGAGTGAATACGTGTTTCTTTGGAGATTAATTGCAGTTAATTTACTAGAAACTTTTTTTGGCAATTGCCCTTTGATAAATTAGCGGATAGATTTGGCAATCGTCAAACCACCAGTTGCCAGATTGCAACAGATGCTTGGAATTAATTTCGAAAAAGGCAAACATTTACTCGTTTACAGGTTTATAAAAACTAAAAATTGCAGAATTAATAACATAATTTAATCAAAATGTACGTTTTAAAAGCCTTTTCTCTTTATATTTGAAAACATACAACATATGCATTATACAAACATTCCAACACTGCCAAACCAAAATAATTTGTTC